GCACTCGATACGGATCATGAACTGACACGTAGGGGGGGCATTCAGAGTCATCTACCAGGTAACATATGACCGATCAAAAGGGATGAAAAAGATTTCTGTGCACAGCCTACGCGACTGCGATCAGGCTAAACCAACGAATACTGTGTTCGCAAAAACAATTTGTCAAGACCTTACTGTTGCCCTGGCCAGTAAGATCGTGAAACAGACACATCCGTTTTACTCATCCTTGACTGGTCCATCCGGACACAGTCCTCAACATCAATCATCACATTGACTGTATGAGTACTGACACTACGGATTATTACGCTGTGTTGTGTCTATGCATGATCGATTGTGTACTATATTGGCCTGATGGGAAGTACCAAAAAAACAGATATTTTGTTGCCACTTTTAGACTTCTCGGACAAAACATTGGGTATATTTTGTGAACTATCATATTTGTCAATTATTTTGTGGACCATGTTGCATTGACCACAACCAGTTGTCGTTTCGGATTTTTCGATTAACTCCTTCCTTGTTCATCTTTATATTTGACCTACTGGGTCCTCATGATTGTTTTTGTTTCTCGTCTATTCAGGGTGCTTTCGGCTTGATTGCATATCAAGACCCCTATTCGAGCCCGTTTCGTCGTTTCTTGGACCCCAGTCATCGGGATCGTTTGGCCGATGCTGTAAATAGTGCAATAATGGGTAAGCCCTTTTGTTATAAAATACCAGTGACGTACGCTAACCGACAACGTTCGGACAGCTTCATAGTAGTTTCCGTCGTTCCGCTCCGTTCTCCCCGTAACTCGTATGCCTCGAGCTCTTATGTGCCACTCCATCAAATTTTCTTCTCAGATAATTCGTGTGTATAGTGATTCACCGGGGGGGGGGGGGAGACAATCTTTGACATTATACAAACTATAAACGGTGTTTTCCCGTAACACATTTAAATAGAGAAGCCAGAAATATGGGTTTGCACAATGTATCCATGGTCATTTCGCTGTATCTGTCTGTACTCGTGCCTACTGTGGGCAAGGTGGTCTTATGGTCGGTGAAATAACAATCGTAAGACCGAGACAAGATTGCTGATTACGACGGAAAGAACGACAACAACACGGAAAAGGTAAGGGGGTGGGATCTATTACCAAGGTAAAGTTGATGTGACCAGCCATTCATGCTGTTTGCATACATCTAACTTGTAGATGTGAACGGTAAGAGCCTTGGTAAACTTCAGTACCATTGTCTGTTGTGTTGTAAATGACCTGAAATGCGTCGTTTGGAGTGATACAGTGTTTCTGTTTCAATGAGTGTTGCGAACTCAGAGATTTGAATCTTTTCTGACCATTCAATCACGTAACGGTTTCAAACTTGTTATTCTTAAGCTATTCCGGGATGTGTTCGGCCATTCTGTGACGCAACTACCTCTATCCTGCCTATGTAGACGGCTGAGAATCCACACTAGAATTGACCATGGATACATTGTGCAAGCCCATGTTTCTGACTTCTTTATTTATTTGTTTACATGAATGCCAAATCAGAATTTGAATGCTGATTTTTCTCATGTACCTCAATGGAACAACCATACTGAAATCCGATACCGATGATATCGCACTGGTTGTACTGGCAATGAAGCTCTTTTAGATAAGGGTTGAGGCTGGGCTTGGAGTGTATTTTTTGTTTCTACTTTTTCTCTGTTGTATCTGATGCTCCAGTCTTCGAGTTATCCATAAACACAAACAAAAGTCATCTGATTTTTGGACAAAGGGGAACTCCAGTGTGGGGTTGAGAGGAAGAACTAGACAGATGGGAAAGAGATTTCCTCAAATGCGTGTCTAAGACTTTAGAGCACGATATACTTCGCGGCAGTCCACACCGATGAAGTGTTTTTCTTTGGTAACCTTAACCGGAGCCTTTGACACAAAAGAATTTTTTGAACCAGTTGGGAACATATCTGTTCGTGCATCCGGTTTCCATTTGCGGGGATTTCGTGCATGGTTTATGAGCAAGTTTGTGGGTTTTGTACTGTTAGTTTGCATTTTCCTGTTGTTGTTTTTCTTCGAAGCATTGAATTTTCATCGTTTTGTTTTGTAGTTCACTTGAACCAACCAGCCAACCCTATTTTGGACAGTGCTCTTGCATTTCTCGAACGGTCGTTGACCGAAGATGATTCGGCCTTAGTTGGTGTTCGTGCGGTACATTTCGGTGCCGTTGGGTCCACCAGTCAGGCTGCTCGTCTACGTTCCGGATCAGACCGAGGCGTTTACTCTGCTCCAGCTCGATCCGAAGTAGCGCCTGGTATGAATGAAGTATCTCAAAGTCGTATTGGTCCACCAGACTTCACTACTCGTCACCGTTTGACCAGCTACTCGGACAGGTTAGCCTCGCCCGAATCCCCTATGAGGCTGGAAGCGAATTCCTTCCGCCAATCGGGTCCTTACTCGACCTTAACGGAGATCACTCATCCTTCGTCTTTCGGAGTCAGTAGTCCGTTTACTGACACTGAACTTAATCAAGGTAACAGTCCCCAATCTAGCAACACCAATCACAATAACAGTGCTTCCATAGTCGCCAGTTCTATCTACATCCACCCATCAGCACTGGTTTCGCTCAGTTCCCACCCTCGACAGTCAGATTCAATCACCGAGCCTGCTCGCAGTTTGCCTTCCTCCTCTCTAACAGCAGCAGCCGCACAAGCTGCCTCTCGTCTTTTAACGACCAGCTTGCGCCATGCTCTCGACTCACATCGATTAAACCAATCACGAACTCGTCACTCAGCCTCCTCTTCACCTCCGTTCGCCTACACCGGTTCAACCTCAACAGTCAATGTTGCCGGCTGGCCAAGTACGCCAGGTGATCATCAACCCGCTCAGGAGCTACCCACTTCGCCACAACAACACCATCAGTCCGTACCGTCGGCGGCTGTTCGCCTGGCTGTCGCTTCTTATCTAGCCGATACACATGCCCCAACTGGGCCTGAGTTGGCCGGATTCTTCCATCCGCTGTTGTTCATTGACTAGGGCTGTGCTTTTTATTGCCCACATCCCAATCCAATCGACAACACCACACTCCCTCGCATCCTCAGCGCCTATGTAACTTAATTTCGTAACACCATTTTGCACCTTTCCCTGTCTATCGCTTTCGCACACACACACACACACACACACCATTCCTATGATCTTCACGTCGTCACCAAGACAAAAAAAAACGAACGCAATGATTACAGCTGTGTGGTGTGAATCAGGTGCTTACTTTGTTTTTATTGTTGAATGTTTACTCCTTTTTACGATTCATTGCTTGCACTCTTCGCTGTAAGTTTTGTGAAAACTCAAGTCACAGGTTCAGTGCGTTATGTCTATTTGTCTCCTTCTATCTATCCATTTACGTACTCTTGATGAGCGACCATGTCCCACATTAGAACAAATGAACCCGAAGGCCCAGGGTGTGTGTGTGCATATATGTGGTCAGTTTGTCGTTCCTGAATCCCGAATATACACTCACTGGTTCGGCATGTTCACCCCCACACAGTTTCACTCGCACCGATTGTGACTTCCTAGTGCCACTTTGTATACAAACAACCACCCTTCGTTTCAAATTTCGAAACTAGGTTCGTACTACTTCATACTCAACGAGGCCAAAAATACATGCACAAACACTCAAGCAGATAGCATTATGCTTCTCTTGGTTGAATAAGAATGGATATTCTCTTCGTACTCGCTGACCTCGCTGTTCCACTCCTCTCTCATTGACTCAGTCAGGGACAATTCACTCAGAATTCAAATATGCTTTCTCCCATTTTCAGACAACTCTTCACAGATCAGTTTTTCGTCCCTATTCTTGTGCTTTTCCGTGTGGATTGGATGAACACAAAAATAAGTCAACATTCTCCGATCTTCATCGTACCGCACTGATAACCACTTGATTTCCTCCGGGTTCTTTTTCCTCAGTATCTATACAAAACGTGCGCATTGCTATTATTCGTGATCTCCCTTCTCCCCTCCTCTAACACATAAAGGGAAATTGTTAATAATGAGAACAACAACGACAGTTACTTCCAGTCTTGGAACTCCAATGTAATGTCTTATATGGCGCCTCGTTCAGCCTCAGTCCGTTAGTCTTCTCGGCAGCCTTTCCTTCTACACCAACTTTTTTGCCAGGGTGTGTCGTTCATCTTTCGTTTGTTCGCAATGACCCACTCGAAACGGGTTCACAACACTGGTGAAATTGAACAGTTGAGATATCCCTAGTTCCTATGCCGCTGCCACTCTGCTCCCATTGACCTCTTACTCTACTCTTTTGATTTCCCAGTCTTGATTTCTTTGTACCTCTTGTGATCAGTCCACGTTTTCCGTATCCTGTCCGTTCACCCTCATCCCGTTTTTGCATCCATCTCTCTTCCCCACGCATACTTACTATCCCTCTACAGTGTGTTTGCAAGTTCCCAGACTTTGGAAACTTAATCGAGACTTTCATCACAACCGCCTACCCACCAAGTCACCTGAAAATTGTGTTCTCCCGCTTGAAAGAAAGCGTTTTTTATGTCCTCTGATTATTTCAAAGAATATTTCCGATTAGACATTGTTTCTTATCTTATGACACCTAAGCCCAATCCTCTTTTACTTGCGTTCTCGTCCAAGCACCAATTCTTTTGTTTTTTTCGATTCTTCCGTCCTACCTAATGCTGGTTCGTGCGTGAAAGCGTAGATTCACATGCTCCACTGCT